CTCCAGGAAATGCTTTTATATACATGCCGAAACAGGCAAATACTGGGTTTTTTTACAGCAAATGTCTGTATTTTCCAGGCTATGTTACAGGATGTAACCTAGCCAGACTGAGCTAAGCAAGGAGGAGAAACATGGTTTGCAGAGACAGTATCTTTTATTAAACAGCTCTCTCCAGATACTTGCCATGTTTAAAGCAGACTTTGAAGAATTTCTTACTAACAAGTTGAATGCTTGGAAAAATGATGATTGACAGCTACAAGGGTGGAAAATTTCCATTTACTTGTATGGCATAAACATACACTTTCCTCCTGCAAGCACAGACCAGGAAGCAGAGAAAAAAAAACCACTTCTGAGGTGTAGGAGTAGTTAAGATTTAGTTTCAAGCCAGAGTGCTGCTACAATACAAACAGCCACCTCCAAGGCATCAGAGACCCCACCAGCTCACTTCGTGTCAGCTAGGGAGAGCACATATTGCCCCCTTAAGCTGAAATTCAACCAGCAATGAAAATGCATCCTGTCACCAACCTGTAACATCTTGTCCCCCCTTTTTTGGGTTGGTTCTCTTTACATGAGCAATCACAGCACAGTCCAACTCCAGGCAAACACTCAAGTTGCAGATTTCTCTTCCACCCCTACTGCAGTTAACAGGTGCTCTCCTTTCATTCCACCTAGCAAAGCTCACCCAGAAAAATCACAGCTGGACAGGGGAAATTCTTCTCTTTGCATACCTGGGAATGAGATTCAGTTGCATTTTGTTGCAGTTCAAGCTGTACAATGTAGCTGGCTTATCTATATACTTGGTTTGTGTTGAGGGATAGAGAGCAAAGGAAATCATGACATCACAACAAATCAAACACACAGGATTTAAAAAGCCCAAATTAGGTATCAGTAAAACACATGCCACTGCTGCACCACTGATCCTGTATTATACACTGTACCAAATTTTTCTGAACAAAATACTGCATTGCATCATGTCACCAGACAGGGAGATTCTAAAATATTAGGATTTTGCAGGATGAGCTTGCACAAACGTGTGTGCAAAGCTGCCCTCTGCTGTTTAGATTAAGATCTGCTCAAATAAAGGATTGTGTGACCAAACCAGCTTTAGCTGTAAGGGTCCAGCTATTTTCTGCCTTCATGCACACTAGAAATTTCATATACGAAAGCCACTTACAACTGTCTTGCAGCACGGACTATCCAGACACATCCACAGGCTGTAGCAACACTGTGCCAGCTGCAAGACTCACTCCATGCAGCAACTTTCCCAACCATGGGTGAGCACCACCAGACATCCTCTCACCCCGACAATGACTGGAGAACATCCTCAGGGTGGAAGAGAAATGATGTAATTGTGAGTGAGTGCTGCAGGACATGCATCTGTCAATCTGTTAAATCAAGGTCTGACCTTTACAGAACAGGAACTGTATTGCCTGAAGTCAAAAGCTTATAGCACAGAGGTCTTTGAGAATTAATGATTATTAGGTTACAGCAGTGATCAGGGTAGTGGCCTCATCAAAAGATGCCCAGTAAATATTCAGCAAAACTAGCACTTCCAAGCCTCTATTGCAGGGAAAGAAAGGAGAACCTGATTTTCTTTTCAAGAAAGCATGGAAACCACAGTGCTTTGAAAAAGCTGCCCATTATTTAGAGGCAGTATGTTGGGCAGTTTGGTACAGAAACATCACAGAAGGGCCAGCTCTTTGTATGTGGCAAACTCTGCCCTCCGAGAACAGCATCAAATGTCCACGTCTTCTTCTTTGGGAAGCTCTAGTCTGGTACAAACACAGAAAACAAGTACTGTTACCCACACCAGAAGTTCAGTTTCCAGAGTGCCTTCGATGAAATCCAGCCCCCAGTGCTTGTGAATTAAGCACAAGTTCCAGATCTTTGCAACAGGCTTTGGGTCAGGTGCAGCTGTAAGCTATGCTTCTCAGGGGAAAAACACAAACTAAAAACCAAACCAAAACCCGGGTACAACAGAAGCCTTGAAGAATACATTTTTCCACATAATTCCTTTTCATATCCATACATTTAAAAGTGCAGAAATGGGTGTACAGTCCAGCATGCCTATGAAACAATCACTAAAAGCACTTAGTGACCACCTCGAAGATTCTCTTGATGTTTAACTCATGTTAACCATAACACAACAGTAATGCAGGGCCACTGTTCAGCCTAAGGGACTTTAAAACACACCATCAACAGATGTACAAAAGAAACTTTAGGAAGATTCTTCTGGGTTCATAAATAGCTGCAGCCTTTGATGCTGGCTGGCCTCCTACACAGCAGGGCTGGGGCTTCTCCATTCTTCAAGGGCAACAATATTCTGTCCACCCCCAGGGGATGGAAATTAGTGCCAGATGATTCAGTGTGTGCCTGATCACTCTGGGTTTGGATTTGATTCCATTATCTAGAAAATGTAATGGTGAGACATCAAAGGTCCTCCTCCTGCATGATAATGAAACTGGCTGGGTGGTTTTTTTTTCTCTACAAGCTGCCCAAGAAGCTCATAATCGATGACAGAACACTTCCCAACATGAAACTAACAGACCTCTAACATTCTTTATAAGAAATCCTCTCAGTGCTGAAAACAAGTGCCTTGTTCTTCGAGAATCACAAAAGAGAAAATGGCTTTTCCTGGGAGAAAGGTTAGTAGTAGTATAGCCTGCAGTAAATAAGATTACAGATCTTACCAGCAGCTGTGAGCTCAGTAGCAAATCTACAACTGGAATGGCTCCTTTTAAACTTTTTGTTAATTTGCACAGGTGAGAAGAAATACAGCAAGCAGTGTGCACAGATAATGCAATGGCATTCCTACTCTATGTATGACACAGTAACATCTGCCACTACCACAGCACTTCCAAAGACCTGCACTTTGCTTGTGTCTGAAACCAAATTACAGCCTCCTACATCTGTGGGCTGTGCATGCTAGCTACACCACTGCCAGCCCAAACCTGTGGGGGAAACAGCAAATTCCCATTCTAGACAATATATTCCAAGTCTACACAGTCTGCAAGGTATTAGCTTCACCAGGAGATGGAGGGGCGTGTGTGTGTGGAATTCAAATCTTATTAAAAGGATTCATTATTCCCACCCTATTAGCCAAGGCACTCAAAACATGTATCAGAGCTTGCTCTAGCATACTAACCAGGTACTTCTGGGTTACCAAATGTGAGAACAAATTTGCACTTAAAGCTGTATTTAAACCTATGATATATAAAATTTTGTTTGCATCTAACCTTGCAGGACCACAAAAACTGAAAAGGGTCAGAGCAATATGTATATCTATGATGTTATTAAAGCAAACACCACTTATAGACATAATCAGATTGTTTCCAAGTCTAGCATCAAAATCAGAAGAACTGACACCCAGGTTTGTTAAAGCCTACTTAGTTTGGGAGAGCTTTTCTGTAAGCTAAAATGTGAATCCAAATTGTCACCATTATACCAGAAGTCTGAAGGAAGGGTGCCACTTGTGTCTTGTGCTGTTTGGGCTTGTTTTTCAAGGCAGGGTGCAAGAATTGGATTTACCCTTAAGGCAATGTTAAAAGCTGAACTAAAAAGATATGCTGAAGTGACCACAACCAGCAAGGACAGCAGGTAACTATACCAACAGGTCTGTCAACATCACCTATGAATTCCTACTTTTTCCTTTTAAGGGTTAGAAAGGAAAAGAAAACCTCATCTAAAAAGCCTCATTAAAAACAGAACCTTCTGCAATTTCACAGTATTTTTATTAAGTGCAAAATAACTTTGTCCCTCTAAAATGAAAAGAGCAAACCAGCCACTGTCATTTGAAGATTATGGCTATTAACTTTTACATTATGCTATCTGAACAATTCAAGCAAAAAGACTAAACTACAAACAACTGTTCAAGAAATGTGCATATCAGTCATAAACTTCAGTATCTGTCACATTACAGAAAGATTCGACAGCACCTCAAATCTTTGGAAACTGTGTTTTAAAGGGGATAAGGGGAAAGTATCTCTTCCATGGCAAACCATCTAAGCAGACTGATGCAGAGAGAGGCATTTCTACTCCCAAACTCAGGTATCTGACTGCTAGGCCACGATCAATTATCCACTTAACCTCTCAAAAACTGTGAGGCAATTCCTGAAACTTACACTAGGCTGAAAAGAGACAGAGGGGAATGCTGGCTAAAGTACTCTCAAAGTACCTCACTTCTACTAAGACTGTCACCTAGGACCTTACTATTAATCTATGAGCATCATTAGCACAAAGTGTGAGCTGATCTGAAAGACTGGCAGCTCAAAACATTCTCAAGTTAAAAATCAGTCACCATGCCAAAAAGATAAAGCTCCATTTTTAATTGTTTTTTCTCCCACTCAAGTGCTGATAACACAAACCCAGAGAACAGTAGAAGACAATCTGCTTTGACATTTGGAAGATCCTATCCACAAAAAACTTGCTTCCAGAAGTAAGCTTCTGCTACTCACTTGAGTCTGTATATTATTTGCCTGTTTTCCACTGTCAAAGGAAAACTCACTACACTGTACTGAAATTTTCCACATCTTTCTAATTCCATTACCTTTTTTTACCCTGGAAATGTCATCATCTTACCTTAACAGTGCAATTTTTTAAAGATAAATGCCAAAGACTGTTAACAACCATTTTCTACAGTCTTGAAGACAAGAGACTGAAATGATAACTGTCTATCTTGCAAAAAAGCTTCAAGCTTTCCAAAAACACCAACTTTCGTGCTCTTACAATCTGCCCCAGGTTCTATTCCCAACAGCCTTATTTCAGACACCTGCATTAACAGAGCTTTCATGTTTGGCACACAGTTTCAACTTGCATCATTTTGCATGTGATTGCTCCTGACAGAAATGGATTTGTCACTCTTTCTGCAGCCAGTCATGTTACCATTGTGATTTGCAGCTCTTCTCTAAGGTGACTGTTACTGTTTAAATGATCGTATGTTTATTTTCTCAAGAAATGACACAAGGTTTTAAACTTAATTGAAAGCATTGGAAGACCAGCCATAACATTAAAATATATTTTAATGTTAAGTCATTTTTAGATCATTTGCTCTGACACCCAAATATTCTGAAATTTAAAGTAGTACTATAGGGACACACAAGTGCAGATAAATCTTTATTGCCATAACTTTGTTTTTTCAAAAATGAGCATTGGGTTTTTAATAGGTCGTAGTTTTATGTCTTTATATGTACAACATTACAACTGCATATTTCAATAATAATGAAGTTAGTGATACTTTGATAACTCGACACCGTGTATTTATAAAATGAATTCTTATCAAAATACACTTTTCACTGGGATAATAAATAAAATCCTGCGAAACCCACCTACACAAAGTTAATTTTAACTCTGGTAGAACCCGATGTGGTACACAGTCCATTAACTACTATGTTTGCCCCTTTATCCCCCTACTGATGCTCATCTTCTGGGGTAAGAAAACTTTTTTTCCCCCCGTTGTGGTGTGACCTCATTCAACATCATCTTCAGCCAAGCACTGTGCACTTACAATTCTCTGTAAGAAGGAGAAAAACTCATTCACAATTACATAAAATTGACAGGTAGCAACTGATTATCAAGCAGTGTAATTTTACACTGAACATTAAGCAGTGTAATTACTGAGCAAACTGATTAAAGTTAAAAATGGCAATCTATTTGACTTAAGTTTTTGAAGTCATTTCCACAGAAATTACATACAGTGCAATGCTTAACAAAGCCAAAGTCAGATAATATCCTAGCAGCCTCCAGTGACAACCTCTGTGTGGGTTTTGGCACTGTTCTCCAAGGAAACATTTTGGCTCCATTATTTCTCCTGACATCTGCATCTCCTGTACCTGACACTTTTCAGTGTTACCACTCACTGTGTGGACCTGAATCTGAAATGTAACCAGGCCTGAGCCGTAAAAACAGCAGACACAGCACTGAGTCTCTGCTTTGTGTGAGGTAACACCATTGGGGAGTACCCTTGCATTTTCAAGAACATAAAACATAGCACTGATTTTAAAACAGACTCACCTGCTAGCATATTACCAACATTACCTGCACAGTACTCAGGGATTTTTTATATTTTATACGCAGAGCTACAAACATTTTTATCATCAGGGAAACTCCCAAACTTCCCAAACTGTCATGGGCTCTGGTGCTAGTTAACATTTGGTGTTTATAGGTGGCCCAGAAGCAACAGGGTAGCAAAAGCAACAGGTTAATTTTAATGGATTTTCATAGCACTTTCAGACAACAAACTCAAGACCCAGTGCAATAGTTACCACCTTTCTGATGCCCCCGACATGTATTTGGGGAACAGTGGATCCACTTACAGTACCAGAGCTGTGGTCATATGCCTCTGCTTCAGAAGAGCTTAGCATACCCCACATATGAGCCAAATTTTGTATTCCTATTTCATCCTGTTTGCTATTAATGCTACGTGATGATTTTCATATTTACTTTTCCATGTCTCAGGTGGAAAAAACCCACCATCTTTTAATCTAACTGAATGCACTAAAAGTCATATTAGAAAACCCAGCACAACAGACTGATGTAACACCTAAGAGGAGTAGTTCAATTATTCCCAAGCCAAAACAACAGGGAATGTTTCACATACCTGGCTTATTGTAGGGAGCTTAGTTAGAAGCATTTGGAACACTGGTGGTGGAAGTGTCTGCTGTAGAACTTGTAGTAGCTGCTGCGGCTGCCCACACACAGCAATGGCATTGGTCAAGTGATCAACACCTTTTTCATATTCACCTGCACAACAAATCACAGTGTCTTGAAATTGACCTTCCTCCATGCTGTAATGTATTGACATAAAACATCCATCAACAGTGGATTAAATTGCTGTGAAGCAATCCACACTTATCTTTTATCCTTCTTTGACGGATCTTCTGAATACAGAAGGTTAGAAACAAGTAAACAGATTTTCCTAGATAAATTAGACTCCCTAAAATATCTTAGTATATAAAAAACACCTTCTAGCAAAGTTAAGAAGAAAAATTACTTTACGACTTACCCTTCAGAAAAAAACAAGTTATTACCTTGAGCTAGTAGTTCCTCCCCAAGCTGAATATCCTCAAGGAAAAACCGCTTCAGCATCTTTCAGATCAGGCAACTATAACATACACAGTAAAAGTGAAGTTGTCCCTTAAACACAGGTTAATAAACAAGTTAGCAGAAAACATTCTCAATGGAAATCAAACACACACAGCCACAGTCACAATGAAACTAGCAAAAGCAAGTGTGACCACTAAGTTAAATGCACACAGAACAACCTTGAAAATCACTCACGTCTCATATCTTTCCCTCAAAAATCTGTAGAGACAGACCCTGAAATGCCTCTACTCAGTTTATTAAGTGCACAGTTGTGTAGCAAATATAAACTCTAAGGAGTGTTATGTTTATTGCAACTATATTTTTGACAATTGTTTTAGAGAAATCTGCCTTTCTCTCCAGGATCCACTGGTGATAAAGAAAGAGAAATCAAAAACTTATGGCCCTATCAAGTTCAGCTATAGGTATATCCCATCAATGATTTTAAGTCTGCAAAGTCCTTGTGCATACTCCAAAGAGGAAAACACCAACAAAACACACAGTGAATGTTGTGCCTTCTAACACAACATCTCTAATACGAGAAAAGGAACACCCATATGGTTACTTGTGACCATTAGAAGAAACTAAAGACTCCCTATTTGCAGAAGTGTTTTAATGCTGGAATCAAAACATATCTTTAAACAGAACTTAAAACTAATACAAGTGAAACAGCTTTCAAAATAGCATTGCATTATTGAACATAGCCTTACCTTGGAAAGCCCTGCTCTCTCTTTGGCAAGCTTCTGTTTCTTCCTTCCTGTAATAATAAAAACATCTTACATTTTTAATTTGCAATTAAAAAGCCCTTCAGATTACAGCCTCAAACTGTGAACAAACCAAAGGAACTGGTAAGGTGTTCCAAATGCTGCAACCCACTCTCTACAGCAGAACATCATTCAGAGGTCTAATGAGGGCTGACAGTAGCACAGCAACTCAAAATGGCAATTCTTCTCCTGCCAGCTATGGCAAACACCAACTGTGCAGGGCCTGCAGGCACAGCACACCTCCTGCACTACAGGCAAGTGGCAGCAAAGAGAATTAGAGCAATACAGGATTTCTACACACTATTTCTAACAACAAGCCACAGAAGAACCGTCTCCTGTCACCTAATTTTGAACTATATGGTGCACCACCAGCAGGAGCTTTAGCAGGTCACAGCAGATACACTCACAGTGCAGTTTCCCAGCTGCTTTATAGCAAAGACTTGGGAACTAGTTAATAGGTGGCAGTACAGTATCTCATCATCCCACAGCAAAAGCAGCACTAAAGCATACATTTCTGAAACCTGAGGAAAGCAAACATTTACAGAGTGAACAAACATTTACAGATTTAACTGCCCAACCTAAAGGCAAAAAGTTGCTCTGCTACATAAAGCTGTACCACCTAGGAGAACTAGTGTAATTAAAATGACTGTATGATGAATGTAATTAAAGTTGTTTTTAATGCAACTAGGCAGGTATAGTTATTCAATAGCAGCAGCCATTTGTACAAGAAAGACTAATTATAGTAATATTGGTAATTTTCTTAGAATAACCATTTTTGTAAGTCAACTGAAATAGTTACACCAGTAAAACTTTTAAATACAGCCTATGGATAAACTGTCACTGTTTGTCCTCAGTGTCTGCTCAGAGAACATCCATATTGACATAGAACTGTCACACAGCCCTGATTTTTCTCTTCAGTCAGTTTTACAAGCTGGAAATACTTCCAAATATGACTAAAAGTTTTAAGGGCAATTAGTTAAAATTTTAGTCCATATGATGAAGACATTCAGGAACATTATTTCCTAGTAGAAAGATAAGGTAATGTGTGACATTCATGGACAAGATTGAGTGCTCTTTGTATAAAGGGAATTCACAGTATAACTACACAGATCACTCTTTTACCTTTGACAACATCTTAATAACCCTTAGCATGTGGATTTCTACAATTTATCTACCTGTGTACGTTATTTTACAACATCATATACAGAAAAATGTGATGTATACAACTGTAGTATATTATGATTTTATCATTTTGGTTGTTTCAAATATCAAAGGATTTATCTTGAAAGCTAGTGCTTCAATTAGCTCACTCCAAGTTTCCTGAAGCATTAATATGCACAAAACTTGAAACTGCACTACTGTGCAAACAAGTTTTGCTAGTACATAAAATCTTAAAGATGAAATAGGAAAAACAATGTGGCATTTGAAATGCTTCACTATCAAAACAAGCTACATTGCAACTGTAGTGCATTCAATGAAAGCTCCAAAGAGAAGTACAAAGAGTAACAGACTAACACATCATTTTCAGGAGAAAAATGTGTTTTCTTGGCATGACTGTAACATCTTCTCAAATATTATAATAGGCATCATTCACCAGGTTAAGCATTCAGAGACAAAGAACAAAACAAAAGACGTGCAGCTAGGTAACTATTTAATAAAAGCTTTTGACCACTGATGTCACACACATTTGAAATCATGTGCTTTAACCTGGAAATAGGAAAGGGATATGAAGAACCACCAAGGTTTTAAAATCGAACACTGATCTGTAGAATTTTTCAAGTCTGATAACTATGCAAATTTTCTTCCTCTTCTCAATACTTTCTTACAAGTCTCTTTAGAAGTCCACTAGCTAAAACAATGACTAAACCGGAATAACTCTGAAGGACATTTTGGAATTCTTCCCATAATGCTTGGGAACACATTTCAAAAGATCTTTGCAACAACAGTCAAAACTTATATTTGTAACACGACAAGCAAAAACGATGGCTTGGGGGGGCGAAACACACCTAAAAACTCCCCCAAGTTTGTCTTCCCTCAGGGACCTCCATAAAAAACTTCCCTCTCTTCTAAAGAGATAATCACATGTAATAAAAGGGGACGGACAGCCTTTCATAGAAGGAATCTTTATTAACACAGAAATGCAGTGCACGCATCCATCCAAACCAGAAAGCTAAATTGCAGCTCTACAACTGCACAGGAAGGATCCGCAGGTCCTTTGGGCACAGCTCTTGTACACAAGGTGTGAGTTTCAAATGGGAACCAATGGATAACCTGTTGTGCTGGTGTGGGATGCAAAATTTCCCAAGCAGCCCCAGCAGTTTCACAACCAGTCCCACAAATGCACAGAACCCCTAAAGGACTGTTTGCATTTTCAGCTCCCACTGTGCAGTCTGCCCACAGTCCTCCTCTCACTCTGCTCTCCAGGCAGAAGGTGCTCTGAGGCAAAATCCAGTGTGGCCAGAAACTCTTGGCTGTCTCTGAACAAGGAGATCAGTGACAGAACACTTCCACTTCAACAATTCAACATATCTAAAACCTTAATACTCTTAAAAAATAGCTGGGGAAACTAAGTAGCTCCAGATGTTTATAGCTTTGCTGTCTTTTGGTCCCCAGATAAAATACGGATGTGCCCACAAAGTAGCAACACCTAAAAAACCCACCCACAAAACCTGCTAAGTAAAACTCAAACATCTGGAAAACCAAAGCCCAGCAGTTCTTCAAGCCTTCCAGAAACTTCCAGATCTACTTTTTCCCCCAAAACCTGAATCTGGCCACTCCATTTTTATGATGGGCCTTTGTAACGCAAACACAGCCCACAGAGATGTACAGTGTTAACTAGGAGGGCAAAACAAAGCACAGTTCTTCATTTGTCAGCATGTGCTTGCACCAAACGTGAGAGGTAATCCGTGGACACGTCAGATCTCCCATCCTTCCCAAATCTTGGTGACACTGCATCACAGGGACTGCAAAACGATTTTACCCTGAGAAGGTTAGTGGAAAAGAACTGCTGTAAATAAAGGTGGTTTCTACAAGTTTTCCATCACAAAACCCTCCTGCTGTCTGAGAAATGGTGCAGCTTCACACAGAGAACTGAGACTTGGCTGCTGTACTGGATTTTTCTGGTCATATATTGGACAGCCCAAGCCTTGCTCTCCACCCAGCAGTAAAGATGCTGTAATGACTAGAGCACTGTCACCACTACTGAAGTATCCATGCTAAAGAATCAGTTACACTCCTGAGAGAACAGATAAAACCAAATCGTTACATACTAAATCCTTACTCCTGGAAGCAGCCCAGTGTATCACATGCAAGGACTGTAAGTCACACAGTGATGCCCTCCAAGTGACAACTCCCATCCCCTATCAAACCACAGTGGATTTGGTTCTCACTTCAAAAGAAATGCTAATGCTTCATCAGAGCAATTCTGAGGTTTATTCAGGGCATGACTGGACATTTCAGATAATGCAAACCTGGAATGCAAAAATAATTTCTGGTGCTGCTGCAAAGATCTTATGTAATTTGGCATTTTTTCTACTACACATTTAGCATCATTAAAAAAAACACATGGCTCATGATACTGCCAAAAATGGAGTTC